AACATGGAGAAGCAGCATTTAGTTCCTATGCTCCACTTATCTGGAACAAACTTCCAGAAAACTGTAAAAGTGCAGAAAGTTTGAGTTCCTTTAAATCAAGACTAAAAACACCTTTGTTTAGGATTGCCTTCAACTGTTCTAGTGAAAAAGATCAACTGAAACATCATTAGTTCAATTTTTTTATTTTCTTTAGGCCAACTGTTTTTAATATTCTTTTTTGTTTCTGCAATTTTGGTTGTTACACTGTGTCAAGATCAGGGATCTTGTGGTTTGAAAAAACAGCGTTGTGTTTGAAATAAATAGGTCTGGGACATATAAAGTCAACAGGGCTGACAGAAGTTGGTAAAGACGTCATTGTTGGAGTCTGAATTTTTTTTTTTTCTTTTTTTTTCCTACTTGCTTTGATTCTGTTTTATTTTCATATATTTTAATCATGTAAAGCACTTTGCATTGTCTTTGTACTGAATTGTGCCATACAAATAAATTTGCCTTGCCTTGCCTAATGCCCACCAATCACAAAACACAGTCCATGGTCCACTATTGGTTCCTGACACGTCAATCAGGGTAGTCTGTTTGTCCCTCCCCCCTGTGCATGTACCCTCACACATGAACGAATCGACCCCCCAATTGCTCGTGGAGGCATGAGGACCGGTACAAATTGTGATTCCTGTGTGTTTTTTGTTAGTTAACGCGATCGGCCAGCAACTACCCAGCTTGATACCTACAAAGCAAGGACTTTTTAAGCCCCCTCAACCTCCAACCCTACCCACTATTCTGGCTTCTCTCTCCGGCTCTAATAAGTAAGGACCGTACGTTATACGTATATGTTTTGCTTGTTTAGGCATGTTTATGCTCTGTTTCCTACATGGCTTTGGTTAGAAACCACAAGCGTTGCTGCTCTAGCTGTTCACTCCCGTATCGCAGCATCGCTATCAAGACCGCCTTTGACTTGGTGAAGCTAGCCAATGTTAGGTTGTTATTAGTTCGTGTCACAAGCACTCGGTCTCGGCTTGTTTCGTTCTCGATCTCGGAAACATCCGAACACCTAGACAGAGGTGTTTTGAAAGCGTGGGTTCGAGGGTTGGTCTGAAGTTAGAGGCCTTGTTGTAAATGTTCAAAAATGTTGCTTGCTGGAACCGTTTTTCCAAGATCTCCTACGACACTCTGATTACTTAATCCCCATTGGTAAGCATAGTGTTGGCAACATCATGCTGCGGAGACAGGCTACTACAGGTTCCCAGGCCGGGGAAAGATTTACGATTCTTATGTAAAGCTTCTCTTATTTAGCTTCTCCTTTAAAACTGATGCGACTCCAACTGCAACAGAAATGCAAGCAAGAGAAAACAAAGCTTCGCTTAACTCAAGGTAGATTTAACGCAAACATTTCAGCCCTTCACTGGAATTTCAGTGACCCGATGAATAACAGCACAGCAAACTGGCAACCCTCTAAAATATTTTATTTATAAAGTGTAGTAATTCTATTAATTGTTGAATTAAATAAATTGTTTTATGGAAGTTAACTTTTAAGTTTATCATGTTAAATGTAAGTTTAATTATTTCATGGAACGTTTTATTTTTTAAGTGCGCATTTTACAATTTCACGTTATTTTAACGAGTGGTGGGACGTGATTAAAATCTTTATTCGAGTTAAAAACAGGGTCTGTAATGAATTAATCGCAATTAAGGGAATTTTAATCAAAAAACCTATATCGACAAAATAAACCAACCGCTCAATTCAAAACATTTTTTTCTCCTTAGTTGTTGAATAAACATATTATATGATTGTTTTTAATCCAAATATTTAGGTTATTTAATGAGGGCGGTTATTTATTCTGCCTGAATTTATTATGCAATCATGCTATTTTCTTATGCTTTAAGTCTTTGAAATTCCACAATGCATATAATTTTATGTTTGTCTGCCTGATCATTTAATTTCAAGCATTTTTGAACATTTCATCTAAATGCAGAAGGCTAGTTTGAGCAGCCTTTTATTAGCAAACTATTTTCATTCTAAGGTATTCCTGAATGCCAGTGTCTTCTTTTATTTGAGCTTAACTATCTTTATGTAGAGCTGCTCTTAAAGGAATAGTACACCCAAAACATGATTAGCCTTCATTTTCTACTCACCCCCATGCTGAACAACACTCTGGAGTATTTTTTTTGATACCTCAAATGCATCTGGAGATCTGGGAGGCTTCTTGCTGTCTGCTGACATTCAAATAATGGAGGTCTATGGTGCCCGAGGCAGAAAGGTCCATAAAAGTCCACAAAAAATGTGTCAATCTTCCTCCACACTGCTCGTCCAATGTATTCCAAGTGTCCTCAGTGGGTAGCATCCAGAATTTACTCGAAACGAA